TTGGGCTCAGGGCAGTGTTGGAGATCAGGGGCAGTGTTGGGGGCTCAGGGCTGTGGTTGGGCTCAGGGCAGTGTTGGAGATCAGGGGCAGTGTTGGGGGCTCAGGGCTGTGGTTGGGCTCAGGGCAGTGTTGGAGATCAGGGGCAGTGTTGGGGGCTCAGGGCTGTGGTTGGGCTCAGGGCAGTGTTGGAGATCAGGGGCAGTGTTGGGGGCTCAGGGCTGTGGTTGGGCTCAGGGCAGTGTTGGAGATCAGGGGCAGTGTTGGGGGCTCAGGGCTGTGGTTGGGCTCAGGGCAGTGTTGGAGATCAGGGGCAGTGTTGGGGGCTCAGGGCTGTGGTTGGGCTCAGGGCAGTGTTGGAGATCAGGGGCAGTGTTGGGGGCTCAGGGCTGTGGTTGGGCTCAGGGCAGTGTTGGAGATCAGGGGCAGTGTTGGGGGCTCAGGGCTGTGGTTGGGCTCAGGGCAGTGTTGGAGATCAGGGGCAGTGTTGGGGGCTCAGGGCTGTGGTTGGGCTCAGGGCAGTGTTGGAGATCAGGGGCAGTGTTGGGGGCTCAGGGCTGTGGTTGGGCTCAGGGCAGTGTTGGAGATCAGGGGCAGTGTTGGGGGCTCAGGGCTGTGGTTGGGCTCAGGGCAGTGTTGGAGATCAGGGGCAGTGTTGGGGGCTCAGGGCTGTGGTTGGGCTCAGGGCAGTGTTGGAGATCAGGGGCAGTGTTGGGGGCTCAGGGCTGTGGTTGGGCTCAGGGCAGTGTTGGAGATCAGGGGCAGTGTTGGGGGCTCAGGGCTGTGGTTGGGCTCAGGGCAGTGTTGGAGATCAGGGGCAGTGTTGGGGGCTCAGGGCTGTGGTTGGGCTCAGGGCAGTGTTGGGGCTCAGGGGCACTGGCAGGCCTGAGCCCCCCGTTCCCCCCCGACCCCGCTGTGCCGTGCCGAGGCCTGCGGCTTTAAGAAGCCGTCGCTGGGAGCCGCGGCGCCGCGGAAGAAGGTGAATCTCAAGCTGGAGCTGCCGGAGGAGCAGCAGCGGGAGATCCGCGAGGCTTTCGAGCTCTTCGACACCGACGGCAGCGGCAGCATCGATGTCAAGGAGCTGAAGGTCGGGGTTTCCCTGGGGCTGGAAGTCACTGAGGTTATAAGGGAACAGGGCCGTAAATGCTCAAATAACCTCAAAAAAACACAGGAGTTTCCTGGGTTTCCCCTTCCTCTCTCCAGCAGAACACCTGGTGGGCAAAAGGCATGGTTTTCTCTTTAATTGCAGTTCTTTTCTGCTCCTATCCAGTGTGTTTAGGGCCAGGCTGCCCAAAATTAATGTATAATTCTGTGCTTTGTGTCCCAACTCTTTCTCTGTGCATAAAACATAAAAAAAGGGGTTGTGTCCATTAAAAAGGTGGGAGTGGGGAGGTTTCCCCTCTTGTTGAGGATTTAATGCTTCGTTATTATTGTTATGGTTGTTGTTCCTATTATCTGGCCCTTTATCAATGGAGGAAAATGTTTTCCCAACAAGATTTTTATCATCAGAATGTAAAATAAACTTATTCAAATTCTCTGTGGTTGACCAGTTAAAGATGCTCAGAGTGTGTGTAGGAAATTCCTGGATTAGCTGAGGGACAGTTCCAGAACAGGAATGTTTCTATCCCTGTTTTCTGCATCCTGGTGTGAGTTCAGAGCAGCCTCACTCTCAGCCTGCCCCTGTTTTCCAGGAGACACGGAATTTTGGACACTTTTCCCCCTCTCCTGTGGTTTTGGTGACAATTTTGTAGGATTTGTAACTTATTTTGTCCTTCCAGGTGGCCATGAGGGCCCTGGGGTTTGAACCTAAGAAAGAAGAGATCAAGAAAATTATCTCAGACATCGATAAGGAGGGGACAGGAAAAATCAGCTTCAGTGACTTCCTGGCAGTGATGTCCCAGAGAATGGTATGGACCTTTCACAGCTCCAGACAAAGGGAATTTGGAAGGTGGATGAGGAGCCTTTATCTCCTTTTGGGTTTACAGGGAGATTAAAGCTCTATATATTTGAATCCTAACAATTAAATGTATAAAAGCTGGAGTAATCCAGATCCTGGATTCTCTCATTTTTCAGGGAAAAATTAAAATCGTGATATCATTAACAGATTTCTTTAAAAAGCAGAGGTGAATTTTGTGTTTGAAAAAAGGGAAAAAAGGTTTTCTCACAGATGGAAGGCAGCTCAGGCCTGCAGGAAGCTTTGGGAGGATTGATGTCTGGCATGGGGGTGTTCTCTTCCTTTGAATTCTAATTTACAGATTAAATCTCTGGTTTGAAAAATCTTCTCAAAATCCAGATATTTAATGGCAGAAGACCCTGATAGTGAAATCCCAAAGATATCTGGTTGGCAAGGACGGAAAAAAATCCCTGAAATTGTGGAATTCTGGTTGTGTCTTTGTCTGAATTTCATGTGTAATTCCTGCTGGCTGGGCTCCTTTATTTGTTCCCAAGGGTTTCTCAGCCTATCATACCTTTTATAACTTCATTTTGAGTGTCACCTACAACACAACCACTCCTGTTTTACCTTAAACTTGTTCTTTCTTCCTTAAGGCTGAAAAAGATTCCAAAGAGGAGATTCTCAAAGCTTTCAAACTCTTTGATGATGATGAGACTGGAAAAATCTCTTTCCAAAACCTCAAACGTGTGGCCAGAGTGCTGGGGGAGAACCTCACTGACGAAGAGCTGCAGGTTTGGACCTGGTGGTTTGGGGGTCTTTGTGCTGGAGCTGGGAGGAGAATCCTCTCTGTGCTGGTAGGAAGGGAGGAATTTCTGGAATCTGTGATTTTGAGGTCAGGGATGGGTTGAGCCCACATGGATGTAGGAATGGGACCATCCATTGCTGTTTAGTGCAGTAGCAGTGGTGTGAAAGGAATGGCTCTGCTCCAAGCACTTTGTTTCCCCCAGGACTTTTCCTATAATATTTCCTGGTCAGATTTCTCTATAAATACCCCCAGCAAAACAGATTTCAGGAAATATTTTGTCTGAGCTTGAGCCAACACTGTCCCCTCCAGCACAGCTAAAGAGTGGCTGGAATTCTGCATGAATCCAGTGATTCCCAGTAAACCCCAGACCTAAATCCTGACCCCAAATCTCTTGCAGGAGATGATTGATGAGGCAGATCGGGATGGGGATGGGGAAGTGAACGAGCAGGAATTCCTGAGGATCATGAAGAAGACCGGCCTTTACTGAAGCCCAGTGGGATTTATTCCTTGGCACTTGTGTACATTCCTTAGGGAATGGGAGCCTCACTTTTGTGGTGTCTTGATTTCTTTGGAGGCAGCAGAAAATAGAGGTCAGTTCTGGTAAAAGTTTTTTGTGTAGAATATTTTTAAGTTTTAAAAGTGTTGGGAGCAGTTTGCACCACTCTGTTTACAGGCAGCAACGTGGTTGCTGGTTATGATGTTTACGCTGCTTGAAATACACAAATTGCATTTTTGGGACCAAATTCAGATCCTTTTCTGACTAAAAAAATGGGTCCAAACGATTCCAGTGTGGTAAAGAGATGACTCAGAACCAGACAGTGTCAATCTATTGCTCAGTGTAAATCTGTTTTGGGTTTATGTCTTGGTTTGGGCCCTACAGTGAACTCTTTTTATGATATATTTGCAGAAACCACCTTTTTAGAACCTGTTTTATGGGATTATCCATCCCCCCCTTTTCTAGGGCATTCTTTAAACTCAAAATAAAATTAAACTCCTGCAATGTACCTTGTGTTCAGTTCACATGGTTAAAAAGAAATCTTTGCAGAAGGAAATTCCCAGTGCTGCTGCTGGGTGCTCTGTGCTTGCAGGAATGCTCAGAGGCTGCAAATGGGATTGGATTTCAAATAAAATCTTATTTTTAAGCCATCAGAGTTGTGGAAAGAGTTTTGATCCCCACTTTGCCAAAAAAAGATGTGGCCAGGCTGGAGAGGATCCAGAGGCCACAAAGATGATCCAAAGCCTGGGAAGTTCCCATGTGAGGAGAGGCTGAGAGACCTGAGCTTGCTCAGCCTGGGGAAACTGAGATTTAGGGGAGATCTTGTTTGGTATTTGAAGGGGGGCAACAAAGGAGAAAGAAACTCCCTTTTTATGAGGAATCATTAAAAGGACAAGGGATAATCTGTACAGGATATTCCTGGGGAGATTCTGAATGGGCACCCTAGGACAATTTTTCACCATGAGAAAATCAGCTGTTGGAAGTGGTGGATTCCCTGAGTTTGGGCACTTTGGGATCCACCAGGACAGGCTGCTGGGGCATTTTATTGAGAAGCATTTTTACCAAGAAAGGTTGGACCAGGTGAACCTTGAGATCCTTCCAACCTGGACTTCTCTGGTTCTGTTAATGCAGGAGAAGAATTTCACCTCTTCCCACCAGAGCTGGCCGGTGACATGGGGCTGGTCCTGCTCTCACCAATGTCACATTCCTGCTCCAGTCTGGGTTCTGACAAATCCCAGCAGAACAAGGGGGGCTGGTGCTGGGGATTTCTTCCTGTATCATTTTCCCAACTGACCCAGAGCTTGTCCTGATCCAGAGGGAAAGGCAGAGACAGAAGCAGAGTTCAGAATTCAGTAGAAGCATCAGGTTTTATTTGGTAGCAGAACTGGGTTCCTTCCTTTGGCCACAATTCACTGCTCTGAGGGAGGGGATGGGGAGCAGCTGACCCTGGGCCCTGTGGGAGCCTGTGGCAGGGATAGGTGGGACATTGGGATGGAATTCCTCCCTGTGAGGGTGGGCAGGCCCTGGCACAGGGTGCCCAGAGAAGCTGTGGCTGCCCCTGGATCCCTGGAAGTGTCCAAGGCCAGCCTGGAGCAGCCTGGGACAGTGGAAGGGGTCCCTGCCCATGGGAGGAGATAGAAACAAGATGAGTTTTGAGGTCCCTCCCAGCCCAGCCCAGCCCATCCCACCATCCCACGGCAGCTCCCAGCCCAGCTCCTTGGCAGAACACTACACCTCCAGGACTGTCCCTGCTCAGCCGGGGACAGAGCTGGAGTGTCGCTTCTGCTGTTGCTGTGGGAGGGAACACCTCCAGGACTGTCCCTGCTCAGCAGCCAGCAGAGCTCGGGGACAGAGCTGGAGTGTCGCTTCTGCTGTTGCTGTGGGAGGGGAAGGACGTTATCCAGGGAGAGGAGCCGGGTGCCTGGGGGAGCTCAGGCTAGCCTGAGCACTTCCCTGACCATGTTGCCGATGCCGTCGTGCACGTGGTGGATGGGGGCGTTGCACATGAAGGCGCTGGTGCTCACCAGCCGGTTCCTGGCGTCCACGTGGGCCTCGCTCACCTGGCTGTTCACGTGCCTGCAGCCCAGCTCCTTCATGGCCTCAGCAGTCTTGGCATAAGGCCACCTGCAAGGGAACAGGCAAGGAGAACCTGGAGTGGGGAATCTCCTTCACGCTGTGCTTGGGGAAGGGCCAGAGGGAAGATTCTGTGGTCGCTGTGCAAAGCGTGCTCAGTAGGATCCAAATCTTCTCCTGCTTGAGGAGTTTCTCCAGGACTATACAGCAGGAAAACCTCCTGCTCACTTGAGTTAAACATCGGAAGTAAAGCCAAAATAAGACCTGAAGTTCCACTTTGGATGTTCCACTACCTAATTCTCCAGTGTTCATGTTAATAGGAGCCTGGGAAGATTTGGGTGACAAGGGACCTCAAAGCCCGTCCAGTGCCACCCCTGCCATGCCCAGGGACACCTTCCACTGTCCCAGGCTGCTCCAAGCCTTGTCCAGCCTGGCCTTGGACACTGCTAGGGATGGAGCAGCCACAGCCTCCCTGGGCAACAATTAGATTGAGATTTGGGGTGGGTTTTTCCCACCAACTTCCTTCAAGTTAGCGAAAAAACTCCTTCCTAGCAAAAGCCATCAACATTCCTTGCCTGCCCTTGGGAGAATCCAGTCACAGCTTCCCTGTGGGACTGAAGACAGTTTCACTCCCTCCCTCTCTTCCCACCCCAAGCCTTGGGTAACCATGCTGTTCCTGCCTTGGATCTGCTTAACTTGGAGTCAGCAAAGGCTTTTCCTAGCCTGTGTCTGTGAGCCATCAGGGAGGTAAATAATAAATTTAAAATAATAAATTACATTTACATTAATTTAAAATAAAGTGTCTTATTCAAAACCATCAGAGTTGTGAAAACAAGTCACAAAAATGCAAATAGATCAGGTGTTTCATCATTCATTCTGCTGTGCTGAGAAATGATAAAATCAGTCTTCCAGAGTTTCTGCTTTTCCCTGTAAAGTCCCCAAAAGGGCTGGAGTTGCTGAAGGCCTCACTGGAGGCAGCAGAGCTGAGTTCCCAGAAATAGCATTCATCTCCTTGTGAGCTTCCACCACCTGGCCTGGATCCCTGGGGACTTTGGGGGAGCCCTGGTGTGACTGTCACCAACCCCCCCGGTCACTCACTGCTCACACTCCGTGTCGTGTCCCACGGTCACCTCGCAGCCCGGGAAGATTTTGGCTGCCAGCACTGGGGAGATGCAGCAGAGCCCGATGGGTTTGTGGGCGGCGTGGAATGCCCTCAGGACACCCTCCACCTCCTTGGAGATGCTGCAGTTCTTGCCCTGCGTGGCCCAAGTGCTCAGGTTTTTTGCCACTCCGAAGCCACCTGAGGAAAGAGAAACAGTTTAGCTGGAGATTATATCCAGGGCAGGATTTTTGCCAGGTGTGGCGTGGTGGGATGCTCAGGTGGATTGGATGGTTGGCAGCATTTGTCCAGAATCAAGAAAAGAACTAAAATTCCATCCCACTCCTCCCATACCATTCCAGAGCTATGGAATATCTAAGCTGTGGGCAAGCAGACCCCACACAGTCCTACCTGGAATGATGAGGGCATCCAGCCCCTTGACATCCAGCGTAGCCAGGTCCTTGATGTTGCCTCTGGCTATCCTGGCACTTTCCACCAGGACATTGCGCTGCTCCGGCGTTGGCTGCCCCTTCACATGGTCCACCACGTGCATCTGGGGGATGTTGGGAGCATAAACCTCAGCCTGGAGTGAGGGGAGAGGGCTCTTATCCTTCAGGAATGATGGAGAAACGTGGGAAAGGCACAGGCAGTGAGTGGGAAAGCTGAGGGGCTTTCTTGGGAAAGAGCTGGCATGGAGGAAGGAGGGAAGGGAGGAAGAAAAGTAGTTTGTGCCCAGAACTGATTGTACGGGGGGCTGGAGAGTCCATCCATATCCCAATAAATCCCTCTTGCTGGGTGAACATCCAGAGAGCTGCTGTCCCACCCCATCTCCCACCAGGACAGGACATGGAGTTTCTTCTCCCCATCAACTTTCCCAAAGCCAGAGTGTTTTTCTGGAAAATGCTTTCCCTTCCTTTAGCACTTTCAAGCTCATATACAGAAATTAAGAATGGAAGGTGGTGAATAGATTTTGGGACTGTCCCACCTGTGCAGTTCTGGGCCCCACAATTTAAGAAGGTTTTAAGGAACACCAAGGTGTCCCGAGGAGGGCAGGGCTGGAAGGAATGTCCTGTGAGGAGCAGTCGAGGACTTTGGAATTATCTAGGTGGAAGACAAGGAAGATGGGAGGCAACCTCATGGCAGCTTCCCGTGGAGAGGGAGGTACTGAGGTCTGCTCCCTTGCAGCTGAAATAATCCATTCTACGCTGTTTCCTTAGAAAAGGAAGGGTTGAAATGACGGCCGAGTTTCCTCCACTAGAGGCCCCTGCAAATCCAGGGATGAGGGAGGGACGGCTCCGAGCCTGCTGGGCTGGGATGTGGCAGGAGGGAAGGACTGCAGCAGCTCCAGGAGAGGAAAAGGCAGAATTACACACAGTGGAGAAAACGTCTAGCCACGTCTCATCCTGGAGCCAAACAGCGAGGGCAGGGTTGGGATGGTTTGGGATTGGGGGGGCTGGCACAGGTAGGTCACCCCTGTGCCTCCGCGTTCCACAGAGCAATCCCCATTCCCGGGGGAACGGCTCCGACCCAGACACGTGGGTGGTTCCCAGCTGAGTGACATGTTCCTGAGGCTTTCCCTCCCTCCTTCCCCAGTCTCATGGAGCGGCTCCCCCGACTTGTAGAGCAGCTGCACCTTTTAACCCCTCAAGTTTTAACTCACGAACCCCTGTCTGTTCTTTCATCCCTGGCAGTGTCCCAAGCCAGGCTGGACAGGCTTTGGAGCACCCTGGGACAGTGGAAGGAGTCTCTGCTCATGGCAGGGGATGGGAATGGACGAACTTTAAAGTCCTTCCCAGCCCAAACCATTCTGGGGTTCTTTGACTAGATTTTCACTTCTACTCTTTGAAGGTTTTAAAAAGATGAATTTCAAACAGCCCAAACTGTCTTTTAAACAGAAAGAGCACGAGAGAAAAGAGGATGTGAATCCAGAAGCAAAGAGGGAAGGCATTCAGGAAAGTCTGTTGGGGAGTTTGGATGCAGAGCCCCACGCCAATCCCTTCGTACAGCACGGCTGAGCAGGAGCTCTCCGCACCACTCCCCGTGACTCCAGGCACCGCTGGCTTTTCGGGAGTTTGTCTCGGAGACAAGGAGGGGAGAGGATGAGGAGCAGAGCCGGGAGAAGGAGCCGGGCAGGACCCTGCCGGTGCCTCTTACCTGAGCCCCCTCCCGGCTGAGATGCACCAGCACGGCCGAAGCCTCGTGGATCTCGCTGCCATCGAACACGCCGCAGCCAGCCAGCACCACGGCCACCCGCTTTGCCATGGTCCCCCGGGAGCAGAGCGTTCCCCGGAGAGCCCCGCGCCGCTCTGAGCTCCGCTCGCTGCCCGCAGCCCTTTATAGCGCCAGCCCTCCCCAGCAGCAGGTGGGGCCGCGAGGGCTGGCCTCAGTTTCTTACTGGCAAGGAGGTTTTATTTCCAGTTCCACAGGCAGGGCATATAAATATTATTTGTTTCCTCAACTGGCTGCTCCCTTACACATCTTCCTCCCCGCACGTTGTCTGCAGAGCAGCCCCAGCTGACATGCCCTGCTCAATACAGCAGCTGTGTTTTTCCTCCTCAGCTGTTGATTTTCCATTCTAGTTCAGACTGAAGCACCTAAACCTTTGCACAGGAGATGGTAACAAAGGGAGCCTGCCCAGAGCCAGGACTTCAACCAGTGCATTCCCCTGTCTGACCCATTATTTGAACCTTGCACTGCAAAGGCTGCTTAAAACCTTTGCACAGAAGTTAACAAAGGGAGCCTGCCCAGAGCCAGGACTTCAACCAGTGCATTCCCCTGTCTGACCCATTATTTGAACCTTGCACTGCAAAGGCTGCTTCAGATTTTTAACACCACACCTCCTTTTTGGATTCTGAATGTTCCTTCCCTCAGATCCCATCTCTCAAAAGTGGATATTTTACACTTTGCTGCAGTTTTTTGGTGGTTTTTACATCCTGATTTTAGAAATTAATGAAGTAATAGAGTTGGAGGGGACATCACAAGGTCCAACTCCTGGCCCTGCACAGGCATCCCAACAATCCACCCTGTGCCTGAGAGCGTTGTCCGAGCACTTCTTCATCTCTGGAATAATGGGATTCCTCATCAACAGCACCGTCTCTCCATTTATTTAATTCCAGGGAGCTGGCACTGGGAATTGCTGGAGCCCTGAGCTCTGGAGGGGTCCCTGGAGCCGGATTCAGTGTCTGGAGCTCGTTCCTCCCACCCTAGCTCTGCTCTTATGGAGATGATCCTGTACCTCTCTATTTCAGCCCAGCCCTGGTGAAATGACTGTGCCCTGTGGAGGCTGAGAGAACAAAAAACTCCCACAACATGGCTGCAGGGTGTTTTTCAGGGGTTATTTATAAGACATGCTCCTTGGGGCTCTGTCATTTTTGAGAGAGACATGAAGCACATCCTGTGGGTAATGAATTCGTGGCTTGGCAGGGTGCTCAGTCAGGGCAGGCCTGAGGAGGAGGCTCACTGCTGATGCTTGGGACATTTATGGCATGTTTCTCCCAAAATGAGGGATTTCAGGCAGCCAGCTGCTACCTGAACAAGCAGGAACAAGAAATGTGTGACAGAGGCCTTGCAGTCCCACTAGCCCAACCCAGACCGTGCCTCGCAGTTACTTTTATTGCCCAGAACAGGAATTAAATTGAGATACGCATAAAAAACACCCAAAGCCTTTCCCCTGTTTTTGTTTTGTTATCTAAGGAATCCTAACTATGGTTTAGGGGTGTATTATTTCCTCTTGCATGGAAAAACAGCCGAGTGATGTTGCAAGCTGAACAGGTAGTTTCTCCTTCCTGCAGCTGCTTCGGGATCAGTCCCACTAGCCATGGAACAAAGTAGCCAGAGGCTGAGGATTTCCACAGCCTGCCACACCAGTCATGCCTGCCTGTTGTAAACTGGCTGGCCTGGCTCCCCTCACAGGGGTAATTGGTGCAACGGGACCAGCCAGGCTTGTTTCCTCCCCTTGGAAAAACATCTGTCACAATAGACATGTCAGCCCTTAAGATCTCTCTGCAATAAAGAGATGAATGATAAATGACATTTCTCAGCTGGTTATTCCAGCCTGGATAGCCTTGGCTGTACACATTTGTTAGGGGCTTTGGTATTAACAAGTGGTTTTAATCTGCATTAAGGTTCTAGTGAGGAGGGGTGGGAAGGGACCCTCTTCCTGCAGGGTGAGCACAGTTAGAGATATCAGGGAAGTTTGGGAGCAGTGAAGAGGATCCAGCTGGATGCAGCTGCCATCGTGCTGCTGCTGGCTCAGGGGCAGGAGGAGCAGGGTCCTGATGAGCAGAGGGCCTGATGCTCTGGGGTTCTTCTGGATGCTGTCACAGCTCCAACACCCCTTGGATGATCCCACAGGCCTGACTGAGCTCAGCCAGTGCAGCTCCCAGCCCCATTCCCAGCAGTTCTCCTGTCTTCCTGCCCTGGCTGTGGAACAAGATTTACGGGGGATCACAGAGCAGGATCTGCTGAGGGGAAAATCAGAGCTGGCTGCTGGAGGAGCTCTGCAGAGCCATCCCTGGGCAGCCCAGGGGTATCAGTGCAAAGCTCTGCATGCTGTTCTGCACCTTTTACCTTGTTGGGAGAATGGGAATTGCTTTAACTGGAGCTGAGTCCCCCAAGGGAACAGTCCCTACACTGGCCCATCCCCACAAACAACACAACAGAGGAAACAAGCTCTGTCAGCTCTCACAGAATAGTTCTCTGGCAATTCCCACCTGAGCCACAGCTCAACACGGTCCCCAGGCCAGTGCTTTCTGCAGCCTCCCCTCCATCCATAAACACCTTTGTGCCCTGACCAACATTCCCCACGGGGAGCAGCAGGAAGCTGCCCACAAGTCCTTCACGTCCCCTTTGGGACACAGCCCTGGCAGTGTTGGACACTCACTCCTGACCTGGAATGCCAGTGAGGCTCCCCTGGGCTGGAGGAGCTGGATGTGGAGTGACAGATGGACAGAAGTCACCTTTAAGGAAATGGCACTGAGTCTGCCCTGGGTTTGCCCAGCTCAGGGGGCTGGTGCCAGGCATTCAGAGCTGAGACAGGGACAAACAGCAGGCCCGTGGCCAGCGTGAGGAGAAACAAGTGGTCCCCAAGGAGCTGCTGGGCTTGCAGAGGGCTTGTTTGCTCCATCAAGGTGGATGCTTGCAAAAAACCTTCATTTTAACCAGTGTAATTTCCTCACTGGCAGGAGCAAAAAAAAAAAAAAAAAAGCAGCAACAGCAATAAACTCTCAGCCTTATTTTTCAAGTGTCTTTTTGAACAAGGGTTAATCAACAGTAAAATTAAGAGGCCCCTGGAGGGAGCTACCAGCAGCCCATGCTGACTCACAGCCCCAAATTTACTGCAGCCAGAACTTCATTTGCATTTCCTCCCGCATGCAGAGAGGAGCAGGAACAGAAGAGGTTTGTAGGGAAAAGGGGTGGAGAGCAGGGAGGACCGGCGGCAGCGGCGATGCTTTGGTTATAAAGAGCATGGGAGGAAAGAGAGGCAGCAGTGCAGCCCTCGGCCGGGGCTGCGGCGCGCAGGGATGGGCGACAGCGGGGCTGAGTCACTGCATTCCTGCATCGGGCTCCTGGGCATTTCCGCAGGTAGGGACCGCTCCTGGCATCCTGGCACGGGACACGGGCTTGGGACGAGCTTTCCGGGACACCCTCCTTTTCCGAGGGGGCTAAGGAGGCTGTTTATCCGAAGGCTTCTCTGCCTGGGGTGAGCTTTTCTATCCAGAGATCCCTGCGCCTGCTTCGGCAGCCAACAAAATATTTGTGTTGGCTTCCAAGGGCTGGCCTGAAGTTTTGTACTCGTTCCACGCTGGGTGGGAAGCAAATCCAAACTTTTTCATAGTCACTGTAGTAAATCATCTCGGTTTGGATGCAGTTTCCTCCCCTTTCCTTTTCCAGCCCTTCTCCCTGCAGCTCTGTTTTCTGTGTTCACTCCCTTTCCCTTGCTCCTCCTTTGTGTTCCATCTTCCCGGATTTTTTTCAGCTGGTTTTCCATCAGTACAAGGCTGGAGGGATCAGCTGCAGGGTGTGTGTGTCTGTCTGCCTTTCGTATAACTGGAATTGTGGATTTTTACCTTTATCAGGCAACATGGGAGCACTTTCTGACTCTTTCATACATTCCCAGAATGGATTAGAAGGGACCTTAAAGATGATCCAGTTCCATCCCCTGCCATGGGCAGGGACACCTTCCCCTGGACACAGCTGCTCCAAGCCCCAGTATCCAACATGACCTTGATGGGATGGGGCGCCACATCCTCTCTTGGCAACCTCAAGTGACTAATTCCCAACTTTTTCAAACCAGACACCCACAAAGAAGTGAGACCTTGGGCACAAACTGAGTCACACTCCCCCAGCTCCTTAGGCTTTCCTATTTGCAGATCTTGCACTGTTATTTTCCCCTCTATTCCCTGCTCTGTCCACCTTGATTCTCCTCTGGTTTTTAGGCCAGGTTTACAGGCTCTGTGTGCTTCCCTCCTCTGTGTCCCACAGGATCTCTCCTGCTGGCCGTGCATTTCTACAGTTCCCCGCGAGCGACCCCGCTGATCCCCAGCACGGCTCTCGGGGTCCTGCTGCTGGTTGTGTCAGCTCTCCTGGCATATGCAGGTAAGACCTGGGGCTGGCCAGCCCCCAAGCCTCCCTCCCATGGCTTTGCACATCCAGCTCTGCTCTGCCAACAGGATACACACCACGGCAGCCTCACTGCACCACTCATCCCTTCTCCCAGAGTGTGTTGTCCAGAGCAGCTGTGGCTGCCCCTGGATCCCTGGAAGTGTCCAAGGCTGGGCTGGATGAGGCTTGGAGGACCCTGGGATAGTGGAAGGTGTCCCTGCCCATGGCAGGGGGTGGAATGGGATGAGCTTTGAGGTCTCTCCCAACCCAAACCATTCCATGGCTCTGTGTCAGCACAGCAAATTTTCCCTCTATAGGCAAGACAAGAAATCAATGTTTGTTTTAAACAAATGCTCTACCAGGATCTCGGAGTTTTAACACAATGAATACACATTTCTCTCCCAGGTTTTCTGAGAGTGCTTTCAGGAGGCATGGGTTGAAATTTCCATGGGTAAATGCCGAGAGACAGTGCCTCTACTTATCTGAGAGAAAAATATCACTGCCTAGGACATAACCCACACTTTCTAGAATGAATGTTGAATTATTTATTCTTTGTAACTCATAGCAACATGAAATCACAGAATCATCAAATCACAGAATTATTCAGGTTGGAAAAGACCTTGAAGATTGTAAAATCCAACCATGCAGCAGCACCATGGTCACCACTAAGCCATGTCCTCAGGTGCCACATCTGTGT